ATGAGGAGTGGCGCAGGAAAAAAATGGAGGTCGAAGCTGCTACAAGAGAGTCGGCGAAGAACGTCGGTTCCCTGCTGAACGGAAGACAAGGACGCCGAGAAGGAGCCGGCGCAAGAAACGTGCCAACAAACGCTATATCACAGAATCCTCTGATTCAGATACCTCCGGGGACTCCGAGAAGTCGGAGTCATTCGGTTCGACTACGGAATCAGAGCTCACAACAAAACGACGATCTTCAAGAAAGGGGAAGAAGAGACTTCGTGTGAAAACTAAGACGGACAAGGGCAAGACAAAGGGGAGGACGAAGCTTTCACCGCTCAAAGAAACACCAGGAGTCGTCGCGGGGGAATGTTCCAAACAAGCAAGGAGGTCTACTTGAGGTAAAGCGCGCGAGGACGATTCTTCCGACCAAGGAAAGGAAACGAAGACACCATTGACCGCTGGCTACAAGGGTCTGTCGGTTGAGTGTTCGCAGAGAGGAATTATTGACTACTGTATCTCTGCACAGAAGATCTACTCTATGAAGAAGGCAACTGACCTCAGGAGGATTTGCGAGAAGAAGGGCATTAAGTACACTAAGAAACCTGAAATCGTTGAACTTCTAGCAAGACAGCAAGTCGAATTGGCGTACGAACGACTCGGTGACTTCGAGATGACCAAGGAGAAGGAGGCGGACACCATCACAACTTCCCAAAGAAGGACTGAAGAGAAGGGTAAGCAGAAGATGGAGACTCCAATCAACAGGAAGACACGCGTAACTCTGAAGTCGGCAACGGTACAACCTGAAGACGACTCAGACTGACGGGGGGAGGCTCCTACGACCAGGGAACTTTGGGACGCTCTCGTGAATACACTACGTCTTAGGTCCTCACTGTGGGAGCAAGGGGTTAGAGGCGACCTGACCAGAAAAGTCGAGAGTCTGATAACAGTCACAACTATACTCCTAACACTGCGTGGCCAGATACCCTGGCTAGAGAAAATTGTCGCAAGATCGGATAGGTTGTTAAATCTCGCTGGGCTAGACTCCCCAGGGGTGTATGCTGTGGTCAGCCCATGGACGAAGAAGCTATATATCAGATGTACCATTAGACCAATGGCACAACGCTGGAGAGAGCACTACGCTAATGCTAGAAACAACGCTGTAGGATTAACCCCTCACTTGTACCGATGAATGCGAGCTTTCGGTCCCGATAAATACCTGATGCTGCCTATTAGACATGCAACGGGCGAAGATGACTATACTTACGAGAGATATCTCATATCGGACCTCAGTCCCTGTTTGAACACGAGGGATCACGGGAGACGAGAAAGCAGGGTTAGGCATTCTAATAGGACGGGGAGGAGAGAGAGAAAGGGTCGAACTCGGGAGCGGACCGACCAAAAACCGGTCCTTTTTCAGATAGGAGGACTGACTCTTACCTCCTTGATAGGGTTCCTAGCAGTTACGGATCAGATCAGGTGTGAATGATGACGACATTGAAAGGACTCGTGTGAAAACTGTGAAGGGAGATTTTTGAGCAGATGGCTGGAGACGTATTCGAAGACTTTACGGTGAGTCGAAGGTCTAGTTCGAGGGGAAAGACAATCTGCTCAAGGAAGCCAAGACGACGATGCAACAGGGCACTATTATGTTTGTTAACAAGGTCATTCGTACGAAGACGACGTCGGAAGTAAACAGGAATATCCTTCTGGGATTTTTGCGGAGGCCCAGGCCTAAGTCCTTTTTTCTGAAGATGTCATCAAACAAACTAGTGGGACTTTATAGAGCTGCGGGGACGCTCACCGATGGGAAGACGAAACAGTCACTACGTTGGAAGGTTGATAGAGCACTTTTACAGACGACGGGGGTGAGCGTTAGAAGGAGGGTGAATGTCTTAGTACCATTTGACTCACGGATCAGGAAGGCCTTGGTCCGAAAGGCAACCGAAGAGGTGGTTGCTCGGAAGATCAAAGACGTTCATCTGGCGAATTTTGTCAAAAGTCGGATCCGAGTTATTTGGTCAAGGAATAGGACAGTCGGCGAGCTAATTCATAATCGGAAGCCGTTCGCCACCAAAAGGAAAACCATGCATTTGCGATTCTTCCAAGCTACCAAAGACTGATGGACACGTGATGACTCGATTCGCTGACCTTGGCGCTGATGTCGTACCTGTTTTCGTTCGGAATTCGAAGAATATTACCAGGCCGGGGAGCACACGAGACGAAGCTGCGATACTGCGGGCGATTTCAGATGCGACTAAGCATCTTGGTACACAGAGTACACCACTCTGTCTACCGGAGGGAACCATCTCGCTTGGTTCCGATCGACCAGCAGCTTGGACGGACAGCGAGGTGCTAAACTGGAGTAGAAGATTCAAGGGGTTTGTTCTAGTACCGGTGGACAGGAACCAGGGAGACACTGCGGTCATCTGTCCGGTACTCTATCGGCACGCTTTTGGAAAAACTTTTCTGTGGAACACCAACTACGAAGTGATAGGTAGTACCAGTGCGGAGGCAAGTATTCTGGCCAGAACCAGGAAAGATTTTTTGACATCCAGTCTCAGGTTCGGTCCTTGGAAACGAGATGGACGGCTGGGGAATGCTTATGTCATTCCCAAGCATAAGGATCTCAACAGATGGAGACCAATTGCACCAGCACCTGCTGATCCAGCCTCCTTAGCTCAATGGAGAACAGCTCGGTAAGTATTAGACTGAAGGACTTGTTGAGGACAGTGGAATTTGACCTTCAACACTCATTCATTAGATGTGGGACGAAGGTGATGAAGCAGATCTTTGGCATTTCGATGGGTAAGTCGACAAGTCCGGTGCTGGCATCAGTCACGTGTGCCATGGCGGAGGAACGTTTTCTCCAGGCACTGGGTACGGATAGAAGACTGGTGGCAGGCTGGAGGATTATGGACGATATATCACTGATTGCCGGTTTGCCTTCTTCGGGGCGCCATGCTGGCTTTCCGATGAACCTCTTCGACTTATTCGAGAGCAGCTATGATTCTAGCCTAGAAATAGTACGTAAGGACGAGTGCGGACTGACTTGGGATTTTGTTGGCGGCTCTATGTTGATTGGTAATGAGCCGCTGCAGTTGCACTATATTCCTCGGTCAAAGAACACCGGCTCTCTGTATGAGACCGGGAATCTCGAATTCCAGACACTCCAGGACTATGCATCATATTCGAATAAGAAGGTTAAGAAGGCGGTACTGTCAGCCACCCTGAAGAGGCTCTGGGATCAGTCTACCAGCAAACAACTAGTTTCGGGAACTATTGCTTTTACAATATGCGAGACACACCTCCGGGGCTACCCCCCGGAGGTCTCTCTCGGTGCCCTAGCCAATTTGGCTAAGGCTGCAAAGAACAGCTTACTGAACACGATGCTGGACGTATTCACCACCGGCGCAGGCTTCAGGCGGTTCAGATGACGGACTAGAATGGCCCCGCGACTGCTGGGAACCGAACTTGGGGAGTTGGGACACGTGCCAGGCCCCCCGACTACACTGAATCCACCAGCTTCGAATCTCTAACATCTATGCTCCAGATTTAGCTCCTGAGATCTTGGAGATCTCCTTTTCTCACTTTGTTCCGCTGTGGTTCGTTTTGCTGTCTTTTTATTTTTATTTTTATTTTTATTTTTTATTTTATTGTATTTTAGATTTTATTGTTTTCTTATTTCCTATCTGTCTTCTTATCTAGACTTGGCGAGACTTCTTTTTACGGCGTAGCACGATATATTTTGAGCTTTCTTTTTTATCTCCCTCTCGCCGTACTATATACTACTGGTGTGGGCCCGATACTAAGGACAGTCCGAGAGACTTTGACGAATCAACACGTAAACCCCACCGGGATGGGGTGAATACCACGCAGGGAACTAGGTTAGACTGTACCAGTACGAATATGCTATTTGTTGTAGCTATCCTATCAACCCGACTTACCCAATCCCCGCGGGGTCGGATGCTACTTATACTACTCAAGAATTTGCCTTACTCGGCTGTACCCCGGTGCCCATCGCAACTTTTCGTTTTCCGGCGGATGTCCCTACCCGGCTACCTCGTACGGATACATTTTGGAAATTTTGCCGTTTCGAAATAAAATAGTTCGAAAAATGATAACGGAAAGTTTTCGTAACCTGTATTTTACATATCGGAACCTCGACTTTTTCTCCGGTCTGTAAATCCGGCAGTAGCTGAGACAGCCGGTTTTAACTTATGATGAACCTGGACAGGTTTTGACTGATAGAGTTCTGGACACTAGTACGAGGACGTTCTGCATTCGGTGCGATGGACAGTGGGACGAGGACAGACATAGGTCGAAGGCTCTAATACTCTGGAAGCAGACACCTATTGGAGATGGATTGCACACATAGGGGAAACTGTTAAATAGAGGAGGCACGGCTCTAGCCTCCTCTTTGGGCACACGAAGTTTGGTTCACCCTCCTGATGAGTTCTGCTCGGTGGGCAGATGAAACCGGTCGAGGGACTTCACCGGTGCCTGTTTCTGGTGGCTGGCTATAGATATCCTTGGATATGAGAATGCAGTGTTTAACTTCGATCTTTTGTTTTCTTCTCTGCCAGGATGTGTCTTTTGCGGCTGCTCGGACTGTGTTGCCGCTGTCTGCCTTGCAATCTCTCTCTCTCTCTCTCTCTCTCCACCCCCCTTGCCCCCCCCTCCCCCTCCCCTCCTTCTCTCTCTCTCAGGTTGAAGACAACCATGACCAAGAAAACAGAATAAAGAATAGAGGACAAGAAACCGATATGGGTTGCTTTTAAATTTTGCTGGAAAGAAAAGGAAACATATAAGGGTAAAATAAATAAGTGTATTGTACTACTCCACTGATTAACAACTTTGCCATAGGACGTTTGCCACACTGCTAAAGGGATGTCCCAGCGAGACTGAAACGCACCGCCTTATGGCAATCGGGTAAATCCAACATTTAGCAAGTTTTCTTTTCTCTTCTTTTGTTGACATGCATTTTTCTTTAATGTGTGTGTATGAGCGTAATGCGTCCATCAGAAAAGGCTCTTTTATCATCCTAAGACGAAGAAGGAGAAGGAGGAGAAGAAGAAGAAGGAGAAAAAGAAGAAGGAGAAGAGGAAGAAGGAGAAGAGGAAGAAGGAGAAGAAGAGACTGAATGACACATCCATCCAGACATGAGAATGGAGATGACAAAAGGCATGGAAAAGCAGAAATGAGAACAACACACCAAACAAAGCTACAAATTACCTCCAAGAAGAAAAACAAAGATGAAAACAACCACAAAAAAAAATAGAGAGTATTCCACTACGCATGTACAAACAGCACATGGAAAGTAACCACCAAAACAAAAAGAAAAGGAGAAAGGTAGACACCGCCGTGGCGAACTCGCCACTGATTGTTTACTTAGATCATCATAGATAAAGGACTTGGGAAAATGTGTCCCCTGACATTTTCTTCCCATCCCCACCCGCGATCAGCAGCACCTGCGGGCATACAAATTTACAAAAGCTTTTACCCATACGTCAATAACAGAAGTGACCTGCTATTTCCTCATGACCATCGTGAACCTGGACACCCACAGAGCCTTCATTAGTCGGAAGGGGAGCGGCAGATTTGCTCCTTCGCCATTCTTCTTCTACTCTTTTCTTCGTGGTTATTCCCAGAACGATTGCAAAGACTGCGTCATATCCTCCAGCTGTAAACATCACCACGTGACATATTAAGCGGTGAGAGGAGCCCGATAAAGTAATCACACAGCTCTCCACGCATGTACAGATTCAGCATGATAGAGTAATTACACAGTTCGCCACACATGTATGGATTCAACATGCAAGTGACGCAACATAACATTCCGGTGTGTGAGGCTCCCCAACCAATTTTGACTGCCACCACGGTCTCTTCAGGGTTTTTTCCTTCCTCCTCCTTGCTGAAACTCCACAACCTCAGAAACCCTCCTCCATCTGACGTTCTCTGGCATAGGCCGGGGCCACACCCGTTAAACCACTACTACCTCGCTCACCCTTGGGAAAAATGGGAAAACTGGCAGTTTCCCATTTTCCCCGAGGTTTCCGGGGGTCGGTGGAGGCTCGGCAAAAGGAAAACTCTGGATGTCATTACGGGCAGATGCATCCAGGTCTGCTCTTAATTGCAGTCAGATACATTTAGGAAAGTGCCAGTGTGAGTATAGCCTCACCAAAGTAGGGGGATGCATCCTTCCCGAAATGATCCGTTCAGAAAGTAAAACAGCAAAGGGGGGGAGAGATGGAGAGGGAGGGGACATTTCCGCAAGGATAAAGCAAATAAAAAAGAAAAAGAGAAAAAAAAATCAAAATGAACAAGAGAAAATACAAATAAAAAAGAAAAAGAGCAGAAAAAGGTGGGTGGGGTGGGGGGGGAAAGGGCCTCCTTTTCCCAAACAGTTAGGTCACTGAAAGGGATCCGTTCCACCAGCAGCCCTTTTTTACCAACATAGAGGATTGTTCATGCTCGGATGAAGAGGACACAAGTTATGGGTATACGTTTCTCAGCCTCGTGGCTAGGAAAAAGTGTAGTATCTGTTCCTAAGAGTTTAATATATGAAGCAGGTGACGGGATAATGGTGACGAATGGCATAAGGTGCAAAAAACAGTGACAAAACTATAACCTCGGAACATGAAGATGGTGAGTGCATCTTCACACAGAAGGTGGCAAGATACACCCATAACTTGCCACCACCTGTATGAAGACGCTTGCCATTCTTTTCTTTTCACAAGTAGTGAGTCGAGGCCCAACAATAAAGTTAGGGGCTACTGCCTTCTTTAAACCACCAGTACACGAGGGCATGGCGGCCTTCCACTGCGCGCCATGCTTTTCCAAACCACCACCTGCACACTTGTTTTCTATTTTGGCTGGTGCCACCAGCAATTGTGGTCCGGTAGACACCAGCCTTCAAAATTCTTGTAGGTGCTCTCCACAAGGTTGGGGCCGTGCACTGGCGATTTAAAAAAAAAACAGGTCGCTTCCCCCCAGTGGCCCCATGGGCAGCAGAGAGAGGGGGCACAGGGGGGCCAAGCGCCCTGGAAAGACTGGAAGACTGAGCACCGAGCTGGCTGCTACACACCTGCTTTCTATACCTGGCTGCTATGTAGAGCAGTATGGCGTGTGCTGGGTGCTATGGACACCAGGTGTTAGGGGCACTGGGTGCTATGCTTGATGGGTCCTACTATGGGTGCTGGGTACTATGCGCAGTGTGTGTTATAGGTTTTCTCAATGGGTTGGCCTATGGGTGCTGGGTGCTATGCGCAGTGTGTGTTGTAGATTTTCACCACAACAGCACCTGTTCCACCCAGCCAAAATCGATGCAGGTTTACCTCTTTTGCAGACGATGAAGCATACTTGAGATGAGCCATTCCAAGAACGAAACAGTATTAACTCTATAGCAAGCAACACGGAGCACAATGGATCTGTCACATCCCTTTCTTCCCTTCCTTGACTATCTGTACTTTAGCTTTCTTTGGGGTGCACCTTCTATATGTTCGTGCGGTGCGCTTTTACTGTGCCTCTCACGTACAAGGCTGGCCACGTTGATTGTGGTTTAGCACCAGATGCCCACATCCCTGTGTGCCTTAATGGCCCACTTGCACGTCATGAAAGGAGGCAGAGTAAAGGGGGAGCTGTACCCTTCATTATTCTGCAGATCTTCAGCTTACATTTTGTCTGTTCTCTTAAAACCATCAGTTCATTTCCCAAATTCCCAGCCATTTTTCAGAGATGTGGCGTGGATGCTGCCGCATCGGGCAGGAAGTACCGGTGTGCCATTTCCCTGGACATCCATCCAGGCAAAACGGGCCTCGCATGCGACCTGTTTTGCCTGGATGGATGTGCCGCGAAACAGTGCCCCGGTACTTCCCGCCGACATGGCAGCATGCACGCCACGTCTCCGAAAAAATGGCTGGGAAATGTACTGGCGGTTTAATGATGCTCATTCGTATGCATTTACTAGTAGTGCACAAGAGGAGGGAGGAAGGAAAGGGGTAGGGGGTGAACTTCTATAGAAAGCAAGGGGTGCGGGATGGAGAAGGGGTAGAGGGGGGAAGTGGAGGGACAAAGAACAGAACAGAGGAAGGATGAACATGTGTGTGTATGTTTTGTCAGAATTCACAAAGATGTAATGAACCCAGTCTTGGCCGATACTCATCAGTCGCCAAACACCAGTAGTCTCAGTATCTGCAACAAAGTTTCCAAATAGTGAAGTGATATCTCAAACAGTATCTCATTACCATTAGACGAAGAGAGTGGAGGGGGAACAGACAGAGGAGAAGGTGGAAGACATGATCAAAGATCACACAAGAGTAATTCCTTCAAAACCCCACTCCTTCTCCGGGCTTCTTCCCTCTCCACATCAACAACCAGTATATGATAACAAGTATAATAATCCTGATCACACAATAGTGCCACGTGGCACTCTTATCTCGTGAAGACCTTGAAGAAGCAGCAGATTACACTGACGACGTCAACCTCAGGTGAGTACCCGATCCCGATCATCCACAGTTCCCGATCTTCCTCCTCCTTGCAACCAGTCACCTCATGTAGACAGCATGGACAATGCCACGTCAGCAGTCAAGACAGGTGGCATATGCCTCATCATCAATGTAGACCAGTGGCAGCGCCACATCAGCATGCAATGTAGACCAGAGGCAGCGCCACATCAGCATGCAATGTAGGCCAGAGGCTGTGCCACATCAGCATGCAATGTAGACCATAGGCAGCGCCACATCATCATGCAATGTAGACCAGAGGCAGCGCCACATCAGCATGCAATGTACACCAGAGGCAACGCCACCTCAGCAAGCCTGGCGCACAATGCAGAAAGTCCCAGCATGCTGTTGTCGTCGCCCACGGTGCCGGCGTCCAGCCAGCGTCTCGCCAGCGTCATGCCAGCGTCTGGTCGAAGTCAAGCCAGCGTCCAAGCAGCATAGCAAGACTGAATGTTTGACCAACTCGAGGCCAGCCTTAAGTAGCATTTGTCGAGGCCTTCTGGCCTCGGTTGCCTTTCCCACAGTCGTCCACATTGACTCACAGCCGAGGGCCTGGATTGTACAGTTGCAGACTTTCCCCTTGGACCTGATGCCGTCTGGGTACCTGCATACAAACAAACGTGTGTGTCCGACCGGCAGCCTGGGCTGGGTACACTTTGACTTTGACTGTTGGAATTTCCGACAGTTGACTTTTATCAATTGTGCCTCGTCCAGACCCTGAATCTCTTACTGGGGTCTTTTCCCTCGTTTTGGGTTGGATCTGGGTGTGGCCTGGCGAGGCCCTCAGTTTACACGAGGCATACCACATGGGTTATTGCATTCCTGGCGGCCCAATTTTCGATTTCCATCGCAGAAATACATCAATTCTCACTCAACCCACGTTCATATCCAACAACAATGTCAGGAGCAGTAGGTAGGAGTTCTTTCCTACTAAACCATCTCGTTTCAGATGGGGGCTGGGATTTGAACTTTACCTTGTACTGCTTTTGAGGTCGTCCTCTGCCACCTGTAGAAAAATAGCCATGTTCCAATATCCTTTCAACTTCATAGCCTCCATTCATGGAGGGTGGAAACATAGATGGCCTATTTGGAAAGTTATCACTTTCTATATAGGGTAACATTTTAGACGCATGGAAGACATGGTATGTCCTTAGGTGTGGAGGTACATCTACGTGGTAGGAAGGTTAAACTTCACCTCCAATTACTTTGAGAACTTCCCAGGGGCCGTAGTAGACAGGTAGCAGTTTTTTAGACACATTTTCTTCTAAGGAAAACTCTTTAGACTTAACCCAGACAAAGTCCCCTTCTTGGAATTGTGAAGGTCGGCTATGTTTATTAGCTTGTTCAATCATTTGTAGTTGGGCCTTCTGTATGTTTTCCTTAACCTTTTGATGTCTTCTTCATACAAAACTGCAAATTCACGTGTACCTGGAGGTAGCCTCTGAATCTGCTCCCTTGTTAATGCATCAATGGGACACCTAGGCTTTCATCCTTTATGCAGTGCGTTAGGCGTTCTTCCTGTAACAGTATGTATACTATTATTATAGGCACTAGCAATTTTAGGCAAGTTCTCATCCCAATCAATCTGATCAGGTCGGATATACATTCGCAAAMGTTGTTGGCATAGACAATTCATTTGCTCAGTTTGGCCATTCGTTTCAGGATGTTTGCCTGACGACATGGTCAATTTGGTCCCATAGACTTCCATCAACTTCTGCCGTTGTAGACTAGTGAACCGAACATCTCTGTCAGAGACAATGGTTTTCGGAAATCCATACTCAGAAACCCATTGCATCTGAAATTTTTGAATCACTAGTTCGGTTCTAGCTTCAGTAGGCAAAGGAATGAACATAGCATACTTAGAGAATCTATCGACGATAACCATTACTTGACTGTTACCGTTTCTACTTTTAGTGAGGCTCATAAAGTCAATGGAAATAGACTCATCTGGCTCACTTGGAATAGGCAGCGGTCTCAATAGTCCCATCGGATTCTCATGTGAGGGCTTGTTCCTCTAACAGACAAGACAAGTCCGCACATAGGTTAGTACATCTTCCTTCATTCCTTTCCATTCAAAACGTTCACGCACATCGACATACGTCTTCTTAAAACCAAAGTGACCTTCCGCATCACGACATTCCCCAATGACTAAGCTCTTGATTGGTTCTTGGTGAGGAATACACAATCTTTCTTCGATTTTATCCAGAAAGAAGAGTAAGCCATCAATCATTCGATATTCTAGAAATAACTCAGGGTTCTTTCGTAGAGTCTCAATGATAGGACTCCAAATAGTATCACTCCCATAACCCTTGCGGATCTGTTCTTTCAGTTCGTTTCCGATATCGAGATAAGAGAAAATGGTTCCAAAGAAATTTGCACGCCTGGACAAAGCGTCCGCAACCACGTTAGACTTACCTTTGATGGTTTTCACCTCAAAATCAAACGTATCAAGGAAAGCAGACCATCTTACCAACTTGTCAGAGAGTTTAGGCTCAGTCTTGATCTACTTCAAGGTAGAGTGATCAGAGTAGACAGTGAAATGCCTCCCTAACAAGTAATGCTTCCAGGTATCTAGTGCAACAACTAAGGCATACAATTCCCTTTCATAGGTGGAGTTGGCCACTTTCTCTGACGGAAGTCTTCTGGACATAAACTCAATAGGTCTATATCCCTTACCGTCGTCTTGTTGTAGTGCAGCCCCAATTCCATACTAACTTGTGTCAGTCGTGACGATGAAAGGAAGAGAAGGGTCAGCAATCTTTAGGACAGGGTAGTGAGTCAGAACACGCTTTAACTTTCTAAACGATGACTCACAATCTTTGTCCCAAACCAAGGCTTTTCTTTTTTTTAGTAATCTTCTCATAGGAGCGGCTATCAAGGAGAAGGTTCTGACGAACTTCCTATAGTAGCTAAGCAAGTCCTAGGAAAGATCTTACTTCAGTTATGGTCCTAGGTTGCATCCAATCTCTAATTGTTGTAATCTTCTTTTCTTCAAACCTTAGCCCTTCCTCGTTCACTATATGCCCTAAGCACAAGACTTCAGACTTAACAAACTCAGACTTCTTCGCAATCAGTTTGAAGCTGCCATCGCGCAACTTCTGCAAGACCATTCGTAGGTGTTTCTCATGATCTTCTAGTGTCTTACAATACACTAGAATGTCCTCGAGGTAGACTATTACTAACTGATCAAGTCATTGACGAAACAATTCATTCATTGACCTCTGGAATGTTGCAGGCGCATTGGTTAATCCGAAAGGCATAACCACGAACTCGTAAGGACCATACCTGGTTCGGAATGCCGTCTTGTGTTGATCCTCAGGAGCCACCTCGATCTGGTGGTACCCTAACTTGAGATCAATCTTGCTAAAGTACCTGCATCCTTACAACTGATTCAATAGATCGTCAATACGCGGAGGAGGCTCCGCGTTTTTGACAGTGATGAAGTTCAACCCACGATAATTTATAAATAGACGAAGTTCACCTTCCTTTTTAGGTACGAATAGTACAGACGCACCATAAGGAGATGAGTTAGGGCGGATCCATCCTTTGTCAGTAAGTTCTTGCAATTGTTTACGCAATTCCTCAAGTTTCCTAGAAGACATTCGATAGATGGGACCCTTGGGAATCTTGCTTCCGGAATGATCTCGATCGTGTGCTTAATAGCACGCTCAGTGATTCCCGTCGACTCAGTCTACAAGTCCTTGTACTCATCGAGAAGTTTTCCAATAGAAGGTGGATAGGATAAGGAACACTCACCGACTCTCTTAACAAGCACCATCATCACCTCCTGATTTACTACCATCGAACGAAAGGTTGGGTAACTCATACAACAAAAAGACAAAGCAGAGTCAGAGCCAGATCTATGATCCAATTTAATCACTCGTAGTTCGGACTTCTTGTCCTTGAGTTTGACAATTTTATTTTTGAACCTTACCTCGGGTTTGGCTTCCTCGTGCCAATTGCAATCAGACTCGTTTTCATTCGCACTTTACATGTATGCAAACAGTAGTGCAGCAAACTGGCGACATGCGTTCACTCAAGACTCAGAGATATGGCAACCCAGATAAGAGTTTATTTCCAATGGCTATGGCGACTCAGCGCCCAAACAACTCTTTGTTCGCACACACCGGATCACCCTGGATATCCCACACGCAACTCTCTGAACACTCACACACACACACACACCGAACCTCGACTACAGCTATGGCGGCAGTGGCCGCATCTACCCTATCGCTATGGCTACACTCCGTCTCTCTGCCCACTTCGTCCTCGGGCRTCACTGCARACCTCCTTGCACAAGTCGTTGTGGCAGCGCTTCCGCATGGCTCACGCAGGAATGAATGAATGGYTGGGCGCTGCCTCTTGATTTATACTTCTGAAGCTCGTTGGTYTGCCCCTTTCCTTCGGCCCATGGTGCACRCAGTCCCTCATGGTACTTGCTGGACTGGACTGGGACTGTCTGGACTGCACCGCTGACTGCTTAGGGACTCACTGCTATCCTACTGAGGTCGTACTGCAATCGTATTGCAGTTAGTCCACCACTTGACTCACCGCTTGCCCACTTGCCCACTTGCCCACTTGCCCACTTGTCGACCTTCTAGAAGGCTATAACTAAGACTTCTAGACTTCACTAAGACTTCTGTTCGACAGACCTACAGATCGAATCCCTACGACCTACGGACCTATGACAGCCTACCAGTTGCTTAGTAGTACACAGGTCACGGGTTCAACTCTCGGGGTCTACACAGGTAATGTACACAGTGGGGTAAGGACTAGGGATCGAGCCCTGGGATCGGCATCTGCTACTTCAAAAAGGTGAAAACTGTTTCACTCCCGCCGTCCTAAATTCGAGGTCCTCCGAGAATATCTTAGTCCAAGGCAAGACCTTTACCCTTCCTATCACGCTCATAGGCTCTGACTATGTCGGGAGCTGTTTCTAGAAGTTTTGTTCTAATAAACCAGCGGTCGTCTTCCGGTTCCTGATAAGCAAACCGGACTTTATATTGTTTTTGTGGACGACCTCTACCTCCTGTCCTAAACACATCTTCATCTACAATGCCGTCAATATCATATCTGCCATCCATATCTGGAGGGATCATGGATCTTCTTGAAGGGAACTGTTGACTTGTGACACACGGCAACAACTTTGAAGCATGGAACATCGGGTAGGTGTGGAGGTGTGTTGGAATCTCTATTGTGTAGGACGGTCCATCCTCTCCGCCCTTGACTTCTAGAACCGGCCACAGTCCTCTATATGTAGGCAGTAACTTCTGCGAGATGTTCTCCTCAGGTGCAAACTCTTTAGATGTGACCCAGACCAGGTCGCCTACCTGAAACTGCGATGGGCGACGGTGCTTATTAGCCTGTTCTATCATGCGGTGCTGGGCCTTCCTGAGGTTTTCAACAACAATTGCTAGCTCTCTCTCGTGATGTATTGCGAACTCCCTGGTACCGGGCGGTAGCCTGTGAATCTGATCCCAGGTAAGTCCTTCAAACGGTCTGCGAGGTCTAAAGGACTTGTGCAATTCGTTGGGAGTGCGACAGGTAGACAAATGCATGTTGTTATTGTATGCGCTAGCTACCTTGGGCAACATCTCGTCCCAATTGACTTGATCCGGTCTAATATACATGTGCAGCACTTGCTGCAGGATCTTGTTCATCTGTTGTGTCTGACCGTTAGTCTCTGGATGACGGCCAGATGACATCAACAACTTTGACCCATAGAGTCTCATCAGTTCCTGGCAGTTCTGGCTGGTAAGGCGGGTGTCTCTATCACTAACTATAGACAATGGAACTCCGTGATCACTAACCCAATGATCAAAAAACTTCTGAATGACTAACTCTGTGTGTGCCTCTGCAGGCAAAGGAACAAAAACTGCATATTTACTAAATCTATCAACTATGACCATGACTTGGCTCTTGCCGTGTCTACTCTTGACACCTGCGCCCATGAAGTCAATGGAGACTGAATCTCCAGGTTGGCCTGAGAAGACCTAGAGGGGCACGCGTAGTGGTCTTGTTCCTCTGGCAAACTTTGCAACTGCGAACATACTCAATGCAGTCAGCTTTCATTCCTGGCTAGTTATACGCACGCATCAGATTGGCTAAAGTCTTCTGCCAACCGAAATGTCCCTTTGTATCGTGGCATTCCCCTAGGATCAGGCTACGGATCTCTTCACTGCTGGGGACGCACAGGCGGTCTACTACATCAGTCTTCTCAAACAATAGTCCTTCAGTAGTGCGGTAGTGTGGTTCGGTCTCTGGGGCCTCCTTAACTGTCTTGAGGAGGTCGCTATAGATAGGATCCTGCGCATATGCCTGTCTTACTTTCTCTTGCAGGTCCTTCCCTATGTCTAGATAGTGCACTATAGCTCCAAAGTAGTCTGATCTCCTACTCAGAGCATCCGCAATTACGTTGTACTTGCCTTTGACTGGTTTGAGCTCAAAGTCATACTGGTCTATCTCTGTGGCCCACCTAGTCAACTTAGGTGTGATTTTGGACTGGGTCTTTAACCATCTAAGAGTTTCGTGGTCTGAGTATACTTTGAAGTGCCTCCCAAGCAGGTAATGCTTCCAGTGCTCTAAGGCCTTCCTGAGAGCGTAGAGTTCTCTCTCGTACGTCGAGGTAGCTACTTTCTCTAAAGGCATCCTCGCTAACATGAACTCTACGGGTCTGTAGCCATTGTCGTCGTTTTGATGCAACACGACGCCTATACCATACTGACTCGCGTCTGTGGTGATGACAAATGGCAAAGACGGATCAGCTACTTTGAGGACAGGATATTATATCAACGCGCGCTTTAATCTCTTTAGCGCAAACGTACAATCTTTGTCCCATTGCCAGATTGCCTCTTTCTTTAGCAATTGGCGAAGGGGAGCGGCGATAGTGGAGAAGTTCGTCACGAACTTCCTATAGTAATTTGCAAGGCCTAGGAACGACCGCAGCTCAGTCAATGTGCGGGGCGTCGACCAATCTCTAATTGCCGCTATTTGCTGTCCTCAGGCTTAATGCCATCTCCGTCTAAAACGTGGCCCAAGTACAAAACTTGTGTCTTGGCCCACTCGCACTTCTTCAAGTTGATCTTGAAGTTAGCCTCTCTTAGCTTCTCCAAGACCTGCCTCAAATGACCCTAATGCTCTTGGAGGGTCCTGCTGAATAGTAATATATCATCTAAATAGACTACTACAAACTTGTCTAACGATGGCCTAAACAGATCGTTCATACATCACTGAAATGTAGCTGGCGCGTTGGTTAGTCCAAAGGGCATCACTATGAATTCATAATGTCCATATCCAGTCCGGAACGAAGTCTTGTACTGGTCATCAGGGTGGACTTCTATCTGATGATATCCGGACTTCAGATCTATCTTAGAGAAATACTTACAACCCTGCACCCGATCTAAGAGATTGTCTATCTTGGGCAGCGGTTCAACATTCTTAACTGTGATCGCATTCAGACCCCTATAGTCTATACACATCCTTAACTCTCCCTCCTTCTTGGGGACAAACAAAATGGGTGCTCCAAAAGGAGACGAACTGGGCCTGATCCAACCTTTCTCAAGGAGCTCGTCCAACTGCTTGCGCAACTCCTCTAACTCTCTAGGGGACATCCTGTAAACTGCTCCCTTAGGAGTTCTACTGCCAGACTCTATCTCTATCCTGTGCTGGATGGGTCGCGACACTACTCCTGTCAGCGACTCAGTTAAGTCTTTGAACTCCTTCAGCAGCTTGGCAATGGTTGGATCTGTGGAACTATCTCCTTCCTTAGGCTCAGTGACAGGTCTGACATATACTACAAATACCTGATCCTCTAACTGCTCCTTCTTCACTAGTCGCGCGAACGCGGGAGCACTGAGACAACAATGTGCCAGAGTGTTGTCCACACTCGACACATGGAACAGGCGGGCAGTCTTAACCTCGCCTGACGGGCTACGGAGCCTACACTCATGCTCTCTCAAATGGAGTGTGGCCCCTGCTGCCTCTCCCCGATCCATTCCTAACACTATGTCGAAAGGAAGGTCATCCTGAACGAGGAGAGTCAGGGAACGGAGAACTTTCTCCGCCTTCCCATCTTTAAAGTACGCCTGGACTCCCTCTACGTAGTCCTCAACTCGCATTGTGCGGTTGTCTGCGAGGACACTGACTATGGGGTCTGTCAACTTTTGAACTTTTAATCCTAGCCTCAGGTTCTTCAGCGCCGTAAGGCTAATGTAACTACGGGTGGCCCCTCAGTCTATAAGGGCCCCTACTCTACTTCTAAACACTTCTACGTCTACCAAGATCAGTTGTCCCTTACTCTCCTTCTTCATTTTGGCCCAGGCTGGCATCCTCTCCTTCAACCCTTCTGCCATACCTGTGAGGGACGTGCCTAGAGAGACGCTAACACAAGCAGTCTCTGGACAACTAGCTAGGCACGGGCCTGCAACCTTTGCCATAGGCTCATGTGGTTTGGGAGTTTCCTGTATGCGCGCTCTCGCTTCCCACATGGCCTTGAAGTAGGGGCAGTTGCGACCCCTACTGGCGGCTGCCTTTTGAGTGTTGAGCAGCCCATCGGGCCTGTCTATACTTAGGACAAAATTTGATTACATGGGCAGGGTCACCACAGAATACGCACTGACCCAGGTCCACGCGTTCCTGCCATACGCGTTGGTCAAAGCCCAAATCCTCCCAAGGCCTGCCCTACAGCAAGCCTGGGTGCCATCCTCCTTGAGGTGGCCTTCCACCTCCTCGCTGTGGGGACCGACAAGAACCCTGGCGATTTGGTGGGGGACCTTGACCCCTACCTCCCACTTGGCAGTTCCCTTGTCCACCAACCCCCTGTGCGCCCGGTCCTCGGCCTCCCATGGTCTGGCCCCTTTGGCCCTGGCCTCCTCCTCTACCTTGCGGCCTCCCTCCAGCCGCGACAGCCGCATAAGACCTCCCCTACGCTTCTATCCTCCTCCTCTAACCCCCACTCAATCTCACTGTAGGGGCCTTCATCAGTACCACCTTCTTCTAAAGTAAGGATCATGTGATCCTTGGCCCTGACTTGACCAGAGATGGTACGGCCTTTCCACTTCTTACCCTTATCCAAGTCCTTGTGCCAGAAAGTGGATACTGGCATGGGCTTCGACTCAAACAGGACCACCTCTCTACTTAGCACATCATACGTGATGTCGGCCTGTTGAGACTTGTCGAAGAAATGCCCACGCAGGGGCTCGGGCATGACACGATAGAACAATTGGGTCTCAGTGACCCCATGGTCTGGGACGGCTACCAAGTCGTCCATAACGCCCTTGAGTGCTCTCGCACTCCTCCACTGTCGTGAGTGGATAGTCTGTAGCTTATCGGAGGCTCTAACGCCTCTCGATGGATCAACAAATCTCTCCCTCAGGAGTTTGAAGAATTGAGGAAGGGGGGTGATCTTTGAATATGCAACCAGGTTGTTTTCACAACCGGCTGTGCGCGCAAGGGACCTGGCGAAATTGGCCGCTTCATCTTTGAGGGCCTGGAAGGCGACGAGGACTTGCTCCTCAGTCAGGATGTGTTGTAAGTACACGTAACTATTGACACTAGCCTCCCAGTTATCGAAGTTCTCCTCCTTCCCGCCGTATGCATTTGGGAATTTCAGTTTGACGGGCTCTTTACGAGGCCTGGCCTCACTATCGATAGTGGTTACCGCTTTGCCACCCTCAATAGCACCCTCACAGAACTTCCCCACGTTGTCTCTCAACCGCCTGACTGCTCCTCCAACGTGGGTAACCATATCACGCGCAAAATCCTGAAAACCTGACCGCATGGCCTTCAGGGCCACCTCTTGACCCCAACTAGCTTGGCGCTCCTCCATCCACGCCGCGCTCAACACTTCCAAGTATCCCAACATCTTATCCATTTTGGCAGAGATGTTTGCCTGTGCCTGTACCTCCTGCCTGCAATCTCTCACCTTCGCCACCTCTGCGGTCAACCTATTTACTTCATCCCTCCTCCTCTTCTTTTCCCTCTTCATCCTCAGTTTCCATTCCAACTTTTTCTCCTCCTCTATTTCTTGTCTTTCCAGGGGGTCCTTGATTGCTGCTAGCTCCTGGGCTAACACCTCCCTCTCGTCCTGGGGCACATAGAACTCTGCCTCCTCATCCTCCCCCAACAATAAATTAGCAATCCACTCGCTGATCTTTTTCTCCATCGCGACGTCCTCGTTCGCCGTGCCACTACTCTCTCCCTTCACTTCCCTGTGTTTCCTCTCCTCTTCTGCTTCTGCCGCCGCTTCTTCTTCAGCAGCCTTCTTCTTCTTCTCCATCTCCTCCTCCAATTCCTGCATCTTTGTCGCCTGCTCCTCTGCGATTGCCTTTAGCTTAGCCTGTTTCAGGAGCTCTTTCCTCTCCTGATTCTCTTTCACTAAGGCGGTCATTTTGTCTTGTTGCTCCTGGGTATAGGGGCTAGTGCTCTTCCCACTACGAAGGTCAACCATGGTGATCAGTGCACAACCGGGTCAGCGGTTCCAAACCTTACCACGTAGACTCTAACCCCTGACTGACAGACTAACTGACTAAATCTAAGACTCACAGAATCTGGACAGGGATCCTGTTAACTACGGTCTCTAACCTAGACCTATACTATGGTTGTCACTACTAGACCTGTCTCCTCAGGAATTATTTAACGTCGCAGACAGGACGGTGCGATCAGCAGGTCTCTCAAGACTTAGACGGCGTGTTGTGCAGCCCACAACTCGGATTTTGGGCCTACCGTGCCACACCGAGCAGCCCGCCGGTCAGTACCGGTCCTTGGGAGGGTTAGGCCTCCGGGACAGTCGAGTCGTCA